CGGTGGGAGCTGCGAGTCCGCGCTGCCTGCCCTCGGCCGGCCCGCGGTGCGCTGGGACAGGCAGGGTACTGACTTTGGGTTTCGTGTGCTCTCAGTCCCTCAGAGAGACAGCCCTGTGAAATTCATGAACCAACATGCTTGGCAGAAGACCTAAAAAGAGCCCGCAGGCAAAGGGCCAGGGAGCTGCAGTTGCGAAGCAGGTAAGGAGGGCAGAGGGCCAGGGAGATGTGCTTGCAGAGCAGGTAGGGAAACCTCCTGCTCCCGCTGCTCCTCAGGGTAGGCTGGTTCAGAGCTCTGGCTGCTCTTTTCCTGCTGGAATCTCCCATGCCTTAATCAAACTGCAGGACCATGAAAAAAATTAAACTATGCGGTGCCTGTTTTCCTGCTTTCTCCTCTAACGCATTCTTCTTAGAGTAAATAGCTGATATGCAGCAGAGGGAAGCCACATGTTGTAGTGCTGTAATCTTTGCATGAGACCTCATGACTCATGCTTACAGTATTTTCTTAGCCCAGCTACTTTGGGGTTTAATAATAACTTCGGTAGCTCTGGGAAGGCTTTCCTAACATGTCTAAGAAAGCAGAAATAAGAAAACCAGAATATCAAGCAACAACTTCAGGAGCATACATGGGGGAACGATAAGTTGCTAACCAGAGACAGTTAATTTTAATTTCCCTGTGTATGTTTTTCTTGCAATAGATAGACTGATAAGCCTATGTCCCTTCCCTGTAGCTAAAAGTGAGCTTAGATGTGTCTGTGTGTTGGGGTTTTTTTCATACTGTTTACCTTTGGATATAGTTTCAGAAGCCCTGTGGAGAGAAACATGATTTAGTCTGGGGCTGACAGGTGTGAGAAGTCAGGCAGCAGTGTCAAAATTAGAAATACAACCAGGACAAAATTCTGTGTAAAATAGTAAAGAAAACCAGAGTATAGTTAGAGGTAAAGAATATGTTACAAGCTGAATGGAACTTTAGAAACCTTCAAAGGTAGAATAGAGGCAAGTAACAGGTGGAATGACTGGAGAGATATATGTATGTGTATGTGCATATATATATATACACACAGTGTGCCTTACAGCACGATGACTTTTTCTTGAAACAAATGGCTTGTTCACTTTCAAATTAACTCAGTTTAATCTCATTTTGTGCTAAGTAGTGTATCAGTTGCAATTTTTTTGTAACTTTTTTTTCTGTTGTATTAAACTTTTTTTTAACATTATTAATTTAATTGGAAAATGTGCTTTTCTGAATGGATTGAGAGACCTGGAGCTGGTGCTGCTGGATTCTGTTTTTGACTTAATTTGTCACTACACTGGGTTCACTTTGTACACTTGCAGTGTGGTAATGAACAGATCAAATGTGCTCCTGCTCCATTTTGCACGTTGAACTTGAATCTTTAGATCACCATTATAAATATTCCCTATTTAAATCTTGTCCTGACCTTCTTTCCACTCTGTCCCAGACTGCAAATACATTAGTTTTGTTCTATGGCCAGGGGATGAATAAGGCAGAGGGTGCCTGGATGATCTGCCCAGTGCCTTATGGAATGGCAAGGGCAGGATTTGGGCTAGTAAACAAGTTGCTGATGATTTTGAGTGCTGTTGCTGTAATCTCTATTTCTCAGCCATGCTTCACATTCTCCTTTGGGATTATAAAAGAGTTCAGGGAGGGACACAAAATATTTCAGGGCAGTAGCCACCAGCACCTCAATTTCTACAGGGTTAAAAGAAAAAGTTATTGCACATACTAGTTTATAAACTGAGGCAGGTTCAGCTTCTTGCAGCACTTCAGATCCTTGAGACAGGAGAAGGTTGTTAACTCTTGTAATAATGACAACTGATGTTTTTTTCTGTGCTGGAGAGAAGCTCAAGTGCTGCTTCCTTGGCCCTGTGAGGATCAATAAGCCAACAGGGGCTTGAGCTTTGGAAAAGTCTGGGGAAAGCTGCTCCACCTACCTCGTAGGATGAATCTAACTCAGTTAATTCATGTTTATAAAAAAGCTTAGCATACTTCAACTAAAATGTTTTTTTCTGGGACAGTTAGTACCTTAACCAGCAATACAAAAATTGTGATAAACTAACATTTTAGCAGAATGCCTTTTAGACTCAGACATCAAGATGTTTCTCTGTGGCATGTTTTGTGCAATTGAGTGCTAACCCCTGCTGTCGGGTTGTGTTTGCTGTTATTAATATACTCCCTGAGATGTTATCCCTGAGCTGATGATCTGTCCAGCCGGGTGGTGCAGTGTGGGCATTGCTGGGTTTTGAAGGCTGTGTTTCCCTGGGTGTGCATGTGCTTCCCGTGTGGTCATGATTTAGAAACCGAGCTAACAAGGAGTACAGAACAGTTCTGTGTATAGAAAGCTTCTTCAAGAGATAAGGGTGAAGCCTCTGCAGTGCCCACATGTCAGACCTGTTGTGTGTGAACAATGAGTGAATATTTTTTAGCTTAGCTGTCACAGGCACTGCCCTGAACTTCCCTGATGGTATCTGCTTTATGAGGCTCAGTAAAACAAACAACATTTTATTTTACCTTGTTCTGCCAGACTGTTGAATAAGCTTGATTTTTAAGAAATCATAGTTTGTGTAGAGTATTTGTGGCTTATTAAGACTTAAGTACTTTGCATCAGTTGTAAGTGCCTGGTATGCACTGTTTTGGTTACAGAAGTGGTATGACAGGGGGCTGTAAAAAAAAAAAAAAGAGCAGAATTCAGAATGCATGAAAATGTCTAAATAATCCATGCAGTGTAATGTTTTTGGGTGTCATCTTTGTTCTGACTGCAGGTTTTTTTTACTCTTCTTTATTGTTCTTTTCCCTTGGCTCCAGCTGGGGCTGTTTGTAGAGTTCAATCCTGAGGAGATGCTGTTGGGAGCAGAGGAAGGTGGGGATGATGGGGACCTGGAAGCAGAGCTGGCTGCTCTCACAGGAGCACCAGTAAAAGAAGGGAAATCGAAACCAAAGGGGAAAAGTAAGTTAAAATATTTTATTTATTGGCAACCTGGATAATTTATTAAAGTTACCTTTAATAAATTTATCCAAAGTTATTATTCATCTAAAGAATCTTTAGGTTTATCTAAAATGTTTTCTGTCACTGGTAGAAGCTGAAATTGCAACTACCCTTTCCTTTACTTTGAAAGATTTAAGTTGTTACTCCACAAAAAGGGTAAGAGGATTTTTTTTCCATGCTCTTGTAGACATAGGAAAAAGATCTCTGAGGCTCAGCCAATTTAGTGACTAAATTAAGACATGCTTGTTTAGCTTATGAAGTCCTAAAAAGGTAGCAGGTGCTGGATGATTTCTAAAGGGAAATTGGAGGGTGGGTTGTTTGTCATCTGGTTGTTCTTTTGGTTTTGTTTAAAGAATGAATTTACTGAATGATCATTATATTTTTAGTTACTTGGAGTCTGTAACCAAAATTGAATCCCATTTTTAAGAGGGAAATTCTGGAACTGATGGAATTGTTGGGAGAATCCTGTACCTTGTGTTGGGAAAATTCTGTAGCTCGTGTTGTGCGGGAGGTTAGTGTGTCTCTTGGAATGGATCGTTACTATTCCTGATATTTTAAGGATCTGTTAGCTTTGTCAGATAGTGTTTGCATGCAGCTATGCAGTGTTTCTCAGGATTGCTGGAATCTACTGTGAATCAAGGCTGCTGCTGAGAGGGACACTAGTGAGCATGCTCTGCCTCTGAGCAGATCCGTGTTTGTGGATAAACATGGATGAGCTGGCTCAGGAAACCGATCTATGAAAATAAACTTTTGTTGCGCTGGGCTTTCAGCTGGATCAGGTCCTTGGTCTGGTGTGCTCCCTGCCTGTTTGAGCTGCAGGGGAGGAGTGGCAGCAAGTGGTTGAGGTGGGACAAGGAAAATGGGACCTAGCCTGGATTCTAGGTGTGTGAGGTGCTGGAAAGGAGGGTTAGGGCACCTACAGCTTTATTTGCAACTCTACAGTAATTTGCCTGTAATGCAACACAGAGCAACAGGGAAATGAAGGATTTTTAAATATTTAGAAATAGTGACTCTATAAACACCATAGTTGATGAGAGACAGAGGAGGTGTTTCTGTCTAAAACTAAATTCTAAATAATTTCCACTTCTCCAGATTAACTCTTAGAGCTAGTAAGCACAATTGTACAAAAAGCACAATAGCAGAATTTTGGCCATT